AATAATGTTTTAATTGAACTGTTTAACTAGAACAGTCGAAGACAATCCTAAACAAATGTGTTTTTAGCCATGGACAGAGGATCCAATGATGTCATATCAGTAGGCGGGACTCAGGACCAGCGGGATAGCGAGACAGAAACGCTGACTGAAAACTATCAGAACACAGAAAGCCGGGCGCGTCCTGAGGTTAGTGTTGCTGGCTAAAGTAAATGAGCCGAAAACACATCAGTCCTCAGATAGTTACGCCAGTGGTACTAACATTCTTTCCCTCTAAACACGGTTAGCGGAATTATGACCAAAAAGTTCTATTTTGGTCTCATCTGACCACATGACTTTCTCCCATGACTCTATTGGATCATCCGAATGGCCATTGGTTTACACAGTGGAACCTGCCATGCCATGCATGACTTCAAACCATGACGTCCTGGTGTATAACTAGCAGTAACCATGGAAACAGTGGTTCCAGCTCTTTTCAGGTCATTGACCAGCTCCTCATGTGTTGTTCTGGGCGGATTTTCCACCTTTCCCAGGATCATTGAGACCCCATGAGGTGAGATCTTGCATGGAGCCCCAGTCTGAAGGAGAATGAGAGTGATGTTTAGATTCTTCATTGATTGCTCCAACAGTGGACCTTTTTTTACCCAGCTGCTTGGCAATTTCCCCCTTAGCCCTTTCAAACCTTGAGGAGGTGTACAATTCAGTCTCTAGTGTCTTTGGACATCTCTTTGGTGTTGGCCATGTTAGTTGTTAGATTCTTACTGATTGGATGGGGTGGACAGGTGTCTTTATGCAGCTGATGACCTCAAACAGGTGCGTCTAATTTAGGAGGTTCAGAATTCTAGCTGATAGACAGATGTTCAAATACTTGCAGCTGTATCATACAAATAGTAAATAAAGTCATATATTGTAATTTTTTTAAGGTATGTCTCTCACATTGGACATTCACCTATGATAACAACTTCAGACCCTCTTCAGACCAAGTTCTCTCTCTAAGTGGGAGAACTTGTCAAATAACAGGATGTTCAAATACTTATTTTCCTCACTATGTATGTATGTATGTATATGTATGTACAGTGGTGTAAAAAAGTGTTTGCCCCCTTCCTCATTTCCTGTTTTGTTGCATGTTTGTCACACTTAAGTGTTTCAGAACATTAAACCAATTTAAACAATAGTGAAGGACAACACAAGTAAACACAAAATGCAATTTGTAAATGAAGGTGTTTATTATTAAAGGAGAAAAAATTCAAACCATCATGGCCCTGTGTGAAAAAGTGATTGCCCCCCTCATTAAAATATACTATAACTGTGGTTTTTAACAGCTGAGTTCAATTTTTCTAGCCACACCCAGGCCTGTTTATTGCCACTCCTGTTTTCAATCAAGACATCACTTAAATAGGAGCTGCCTGACTCAGTTAAGTCCACCAAAAGATCCTTAAAAGCTACCCATCATGCCAAAGTTCCAAAGAAATCCAGGAACAATTGAGAAAGAAAGTAATTAAGATCTATCAGTCTGGAAAGGGTTATAAAGCCATTTCCAAAGCTCTGGGAATCCAGCGAACCCCAGTGAGAGCCATTATCCACAAATGGTGAAGACATGGAACAGTGGTGAACCTTCCCAGGAGTAGCCGGCCGCCCAAAATTACCCCAAGAGCGCAGCGACGACTCAACCAAGAGGTCACAAAAGACGCCACAACAACGTCCAAAGAACTGCAGACCTTGCCTCAGTTAAGGTCATCGTCATGCCTCCACCATCAGAAAAAGACTTGGCAAAAATGACCTGCATGGCAGAGTTCCACGAAGAAAACCACTGCTGAGCACAAAGAACATTAAAACTCGTGTCAATTTTTCCAAAACACATCTTGATGATCCCCAAGACTTTTGGGAAAACATTCTGTGGACCGATGAGACAAAAGTGGAACTGTTTGGAAGGTGTGTGTCCCATTATATCTGGTGTAAAAGGAACACTGCATTTCAGAAAAAGAACATTATACCAACAGTAAAACATGGAGGTGTTACTGTAGTGTGATGGTCTGGGGCTGTTTTGCTGCGTCAGGATCTGGAAGACTTGCTGTGATAAATGGAACTATGAACTCTGCTGTCTACCAAAGATCCTGAAGGAGAATGTCCGACCATCTGTTTGTGAACTCAAGCTGAAACGAACTTGGGTTCTGAAGCAGGGCAATAATCCTAAACACATCAGCAAGTCCACCACTGAATGGCCTAGCCAAAGTCCTGACCTGAATCCTATTTAGATGTTGTGGTATGACCTTAAAAAAGTCTGTTCATGCTCGAAAACCCTCCAATGTAACCAAATTAGAACAATTCTGCAAAGATGAGTGTGCCAAAATTTTTCCAGAACGCTAAAAAAGACTCATTGCAAGTTATCGTAAACGCTTTGTTGCAGTTGTTGCTGCTAAGGGTGGCCCAACCAGTTATTAGGTTTAGGGGGCAATCACTTTTTCACACAGGGCCATGATGGTTTGGATTTTTTTTCTCCTTTAATAATAAACACCTTCATTTACAAATTGCATTTTGTGTTTACTTGTATTGTAATTGACTATTGTTTAAATGAGTTTGATGTTCCGAAACACTTAAGTGTGACAAACATGCAAAAAAATCAGGAAATGAGAAAGGGGGCAAACATTTTTTCTCACCACTGTATATGTATAATATATATGTAGATATAGATATAATAAAAATCTTCCACTGGCCTGTCCATCTGTGCCTCGGACGTCGCAAAATAAAGTTGGACGTATTCATCCGACCTGAACGTCTTTAATACTCAATAAAGGCCACTCTTCTGCGTCATGCTACGCAGAAACGTGAAGAAAAACAACAACCGTGGCGGACGATAATGCGGAGAGCAGTCGTTCTTTTTTTTTTTTACAATCTTGAAAAGATTGAGCTTTTAAGGTTGGGAAAGACCGCTAGATGCTCTCCAGCACTACCATCCATGTTTACTTCTGTAAACACAGAGCACGCTTGCTTGTGACTAGGGGTGGGTATTGCCAAAGACGTCACGATTCGATTCGAATCACGATTCATCACGATACTTGAATTATTGCGATGCATTGCAATATTTTCTCCTCCATGTTTTGTTTTTGAATGACTCGGCACAATATCCCGCGGCCAGAAATGCTTGTGACACAAGGCAGCGTGCGTCAACACATCCGCAGCGACATCTACTGGACTGGAAGTTGTATTACACTTGTTTTTGGCTGATGTTCGCCAACCATTCATGCAATTTTATTTATTAATTTTTTTAAATTAATAATCGATACTTGGCGTCAAGAATCGATGCAGTAGATCACGAAAATTAGAATCACGATGCATCATCATGACGATTATTTTGCACACCCCTACTTGTGACTTCATTGCTTCCTCTACTGCGCATGAGGGACACTTAAGCTGTATGAATGCAATTCACACAGGAGATCGCATACAAGTCGCATATATTTGGAAATGTGAACGCAATTGAAAAAAATCGTATGAGGTTGTCAACTGAATTAAAGTCGCACTATACTATAGTTTCTCTTTGACTTTTACTTCAAGTGGAGAGTTTAGAGATGGTTCTCGGTTCCTCTAACTGAATGCCTGCTTTGTTTTTTGTTGTGGAAAAGTTCTCAGAAATAAACGATCAGCTCTAATGTTAGATAATTGTGCAGTCATTGTTCTCTGAACTGCTTCTACAGGTGGATCCAAATGTCTCCAAACACAATGAGAGCAGCTGTGTTCGGCCTGTACCTTATAGAACAGGCCTGTTTCTACACTGTGGAAGTGGAAGTGGAAGGGCACAAGAGAGAAATGAGAGAAATGCCACCAGAGCATGACTCAGCAACATTGTGTTTGCTTCTTGTGTTTGCAGAGAAGGGCCAGGTCTACAAGCAGAAGAAGCCCACTATGTACCCACCGTGGAGCACCACGTTTGACGCCCACGTCCACCGCGGACGCATCATGCACGTGATGGTGAAGGACCGCACGGCAGAGCTCAAGTCAGAGGCCACAGTGGCTCTAGACTCCTTAGCTTCACGCTGCAGGAAGGAGAACGGAAAGCTGGAGATCTGGGTATGTGCAGCAGAACCGTGGATCGGTACAGTCTCACAGACCATAGAGGGGCTCAGCGACGGACTGAGCCTTGACAGCTGGTTAACAAAACACTTTATTTACAGGTGAAGGTCACAATCCACAGCTAACATTTATGTTGTAATTTTCTTATTTATTTATAGTTTTAATTCATAGATCATTTACTGGGTTTGAGATTTTAGGAGCCTTTTAGTCCATCCGTTGAATCCTTTTGGTGACCCAATATCAGCTCATGAGCTGAGTTGACTTCCTGCCACTGACATATTTTAACCAGGTGTTCAGGACATTAATTAAATATTCAGAAAATAAAAACACCACTTAGTGAAACTTACAGGTTGGATCATCATCTCCTCTGAATCCTTCCTTGGGTTCTGCTTGGCAGCTTCTATCGTTTCTGTAGGACTGAGAACTGCAGAGTGACTGCAGAGTGACTGGACCTCTCTGATGCCGTCCTCTTGGTTCCTATTTTCCCAGTAGAGAACCGCTCATTGAACCAGTCAGCTCTCCTCATGGCCTTTGCTTTAATCCTCCCTCTGTGCTTTATAGCGGAGAGCTTCTATCTCGGTCTCACATCACCATCAGCCAGCGTCTAAAGCCATCATACACTGTACGATTGTTTTGCCCTTTTTGGGTCGATTTTCCCGTCATCCAAGAATTTTCCGTTTGGCCCGACTTATTGTGCGTCATGTAGTATACAGGGAGTAGCAAGGAGCGATCGGCTTCTCTTGACCACCTCCTGATCAAGCATCATGAGATCGGAAGAAAATCAAACTTGTTTGAAATTCAGTTGGCCGTCTTGAGGTGGTCGTGGACGAATCCTGCTGTTGAAGCAGCGCTACTAGGGGTGTAAATCACATCCATCATTGCGATTCGATTCAGTATCGATTTCCTGACCCAACGATTCAATTATTGTCGATACTCAAGAATACACCACGATTCGATTCGATTCAGTTAATTGGTTCATTTTTCTTTTTTTTTTCTTTTTTTTTTTACACAATGTTTCAAGTTTGAAATAAATCAATGAAAGCTGTAATATCGTTATGCTTTTTTTTTTTTGAGAAACTACAGAAAATAACAGAAGTAGAAAAGTTGTACTCAACCTTTTCCTATTAAAAGATTATTCACTGAAAAATAATAATGCCTCTGTGTTATAGATTCTGAAAAGCCTTGCATCAAAAAATACTGCACAAAATCAGTGCAATGAAATACCTCGGCTCCAGACGCCCCGCCCCCTCCACAGACGCTCTGCTGCACCTCTCCCAAATTGTAGCTTGTTTTGTTTTTATGACCGAAGTTGCGGAAAACAACTCGTGAAGTTTGACCGGCTAGAACTTTTACTTTTGGAGCAGAATCTTTTCATTCCCCCTCAAATTTTTCAGTAAAGATTTATTCTGCACCACTCTAGATTCTCTGTGGATGGATTAGTTTACAATTAAGAATCATTTGAAATAAATAGTCGTAACTTTACAGATGGACAGCCTGCTGATGATCTTTTTTTCAAGTTTATTGCACATTTAGTCAAATTACAAACAGTAAACAACACAAAACAAGAAGGCATATATGAGAAAAAAACAGCAATAATAATGATTTTGAAAAAAAATCCAAATATCTTTACTAAATCAAGTTGAAACGAAATAAATAAATAATAATCTTCAGTTGAACTCATCACTCCCACCATCATTTTTATCAAAAAGAAATTTTACAGAAAACCTTCCAGATCTTCGAAAACTTGTCAAGCTTTCTAAAGCCAAATAAAAGACATCCTTGTTAACCATTACGAAGTACTACATGGTGTATCCAGTTTTTCGCGATCAGGCTTTACATCTTTTGGCTTCCAAAAAACAAATATTGAGTTGGGATTTTTCACTTTTGGAGGTAACAAAGTTATCTGGGAAAATATTCAATAAACATAATTTTGGTTTGCGAGGTACTGCTTTTCCAATGATCCAACCAACCGCCCGGGGTCGACACTTTTTCCCAAAAAACGAGAATCAGAAGAAATTCCCACCTGCAGTGGAATGAAGAAGCTTTTTGTTGCTTACATTTAATGAACGTATGCGGGATATTTGGGTTAAACAGGTGCAGCTTACTTGGAGTTATATACTCTCTGCTTATCCATTTGTATTGTAGTAATTTAGAGTTTATATTCACCTTTTGAGTTTGAACTTTTAAACAAGCTCTGGCCCATTCTCCCTCTGTTATATTTTCTTACACATTGGCTCTCCATGACTCTAAAATGTTCTGTAATGACTCTTTATAGCTTTACTTACAATTACAGAAAAATTATAAAGAAAGGACACCTGCCCCTTGTCTGAACATCTTAACGAAAAAGTCTTGTGGAATTATCAACCTAATAAATTGCCTACCCAGTATGAAACTTCTCAGCTGGAGACGTTTAAAGAAATGTTTTGAGAGTATTCCATATGTGGCTTTAAGTTCTTTCAAAGACGTGAAAGTATGATCGTCTCTAAAGAGGTCAGCCTTCTTAGCCAGCCTCGAGATGCCAATATTTTAAACCCACTTTCTGCTCTCAAGAATATTTTATTTTGTGAGCAAAATAAAATATTTATGGTCAAATCAGACTGAAGGTATAATCAGACCAGGACACATTATCAGCAGCCAGTCACATCCCTATTTATCCGCCAAATGTTGGGACCCTGTGGCTGTTAAAGCCCAAAAGTCTGAGAAACATTCATTGCTTCTTCAGCTGATTCTCAGAAATCTTTTCTACTGTTTGAAGAAGAGGAGGACTTAATTCTAGCTTTACGGAGAGTTTTCCTCTTAGGGGAGATGCCTTGTAATTCCTAATTTGAAGGAAATCACGTCACGACCAAACTGTAAATGAATGAATGACTAAGATCAAGTGGATTTCTCCAATCTGTCGCTTCTGATTCTGCTTCAGTGTTTCCAGCAAACATGTCATCCTTGCATCATCTTCATCCCTTTCAGCTACATCCTTCCTCTTTTTACCAGATGAATCTCTGTTGTAACTTTTTGTTTGCAGCTGGAGATGAAGCCGCAGGGTCGCCTGCTGATGGAGGCCAGATACTACCTGGAGAAGAGTGGTGAGTCTTCACCTCTACGGATGATGTATGATGACGACTCTGGAGTCAAACAGCTTATAGAAATATGTCAATATCCTCAAAATATCCTGCAGTTTGCTGAACTTAATTAGGCGACACTTTTTCTTTCTTTGGCTAGAACCGGATTCAGTGTTTGTATAATCATATAAAATAAACACAATATGATTTGTTTCCATAAACAATTATATTGGAAAGTAATTTCAATAAAAAATAAATCACAGATTTTCTGCTTCCAGCTGATAAATCAGGATATTTCGGATTAAAATGTTACATCAAAGCCAATATAAAAATCTATTTTCATACAGAAATAATGTTGCTTAAAATAAAAAAAAAACTATATTTAACATCTGCTTAACATCAGAAGTTGTCTTATGGTATAAGTCTAAGTCTAATGGTCTAAGTCTAAAAAATAAAAAAGCGATTACCTGATATTGCTGGAGAACGATCAGACTGTCATGACTCAGAAGAGAGAACCCAGTATTCAATGCAAGACAGAAAGTGGGATTTGGGCATCTAAGTCTGTAATCTCTGCAGGAGAGAAACGCAGGTTAGTGACCATGATAATCTGATGGAGGATGATTATGAATGCGTGAGTCACTAACCTGATGTGGCACACTGCAAATAAATAAAATCTAAATAAGTCATTTTTTCTTAAAATGAGTGCATTTTTTCTTGAATTAAGGATTGAAGTGAGAGACTTTGCCAATGGAACAAGACAATTTACACTTTAAACAAGAAAAAAAAACAATTGCATTGTCTTATTTCAAGTGCATAATATCTAGATAGCTTATTTTAAGAGTAAAAACACTCATTCCATTAGCAGATCATCTTATTTACCTGCTCAAATTAAGGGTAAATACACTAAATTTAAGACCTTTTTACTCATTTTGAGATAATTTTTGCAGTGCAGGCGCCGCCCTGAGTGTCCCAGGAGTCTGCAGGAGTCTGATGCCAGGTCAAACAAACAGATCAGAACAGGAACAGGCAGGCTCAGTTGCCAAGAGTATGAAGCCAGGTCAGGCAAAGCATTCAGACAGGAACAGGAAGGCTCAGTGGTTTAGAGGCCACGATGACTGGATGTAAGCACCTTAAATAGAGGCAGGAGCAGATGAATCAGATGAGCAATGACAGGAAACCGGGCACAGTTAGACAGGTCAATGAAATGAGCAATTAAGCCAGTCATCAGTGCCAAGATCATGACACATACGGTTTTAGTTCAGCAATGTCTCCAGCTTCCACATTGAATATAATTTTATAGTTTATTATTGAATATGATATGAATGACTGGAGTACTCGTAATGAACCACCATTGCTGCCTTTCTCATCTTTCATCTTTAACTACCTGCTGCTCAATGGGACAAACATCCTATTGAGGAGCAGGTGGCTGTAGCAACCTCAGCCAAGAGAGCGAAAAACCAAGCTGAAGTAGGAATGGATGTGTTTGTGAGTGAGGTGGAGAGGCTGATAAATCTGATTGAGTCTGATGGATGATCAGATGAGAGACGAGATCTCAGAGTTATGGTTGTGGATTGTTTTGGATAAACTGACTGCGGCAGGAAGCCTCGTCCATTTTTTATCCTCTTTATTTATCTGTTCAGAACATAGATGAACACAGAACATAAAGATGCTTTCTAATAAATCATCACAGTGAGGACAGGGCTATTCTCCCATACTACATACATATATCCATCATTAATTACTTAGATATTTACAGTGTGTTAAGGTTGGGTTGACGCTATGAGTACCCAAATGCAGAGATGAGGAGGCAGTGGGTTGTCTTGCTGATTTAGTTAAGGAGGAAGAGGCAACCAAGGCAAAAATCTATAAAAATGCAAAAATACTGGAAACCAAACAAAATCCAAAAATGTCAGGGACCATACATGTGGAAGCTAGAGACGAGGAAGCAACTAAGCAACAACAAGAAAACAGACCTGAGTGAAGGCCCTGCTGCTCTTTAAAGCCCACCACTCTGATAAAAAATACTGGTGAGCTGGTGACCTGTGTAGACTACCCAGGTTCTCCACAAAGATCCTCTCTGGCAGAGATGCATAACTCACATACACAGGAACCCTGACACAGTGATCCGGATAAACTCCTCCCACCTCCTTCATTCATGTATTGATCTGCTGTACCAAAGAACTCTGAGCCTTGCAGAAGCAGAACCTGTCCCACCCCAACCTTAAAGGGGAATGCCGTTTTTTTACCTTTTGGCCCGTGATTTTACGTTATTACATAATGTCTACTCACCCATATGGGTTTTGTGTCATTTGGAGCCGTTCTGAAGATATTCGGTTTTGTAATCCAAGTAACGTCTTCTTATGGGCAACGAGTTGAAGGCACAAACTAAACTGTTCATAATTTATTCTTTATGGTACGCCAGCATTCAGAACATGTAGGTGAATCACTGTCCCCCAGAAATCCACTGTTATATTTTTAATATTTCTATTTTGTGTGTATGACATCATCCGGCTACCATTCATTCTTCCTGTCCGCTGAACTGCTGCTAGTTTTCCTCACATGCCTGGAAGATGTCTAGTGCTGCTACCACAGATGATCTCGCCCTCCAAATGGAATTGAACGATTCAGATTAGCTAGCCGAATATATAGGAGGTAGAGCGAAGCCGGCTGGTGTAATATACATTGGTTAAAGGAAGTTTAAAAAAGAAAAAAAAATCTCCAGTCCGGTGCGCGGATGACGTCATACATACGCCGCTTTGTTTTAAAAAGATATAAATATAAAAAATATAATTGTGGATGTCTGGAGGAAAGTGATTGGCCTACATGTTCTGAAACAGTTAAATTTTTATGCCTTCAACTCGTTGCACACAGGAAGACGTTACTTGGATATAACCTAACGGAATATCTTCAGAACGGCTCCAAATGACACAAAACTCATAGAACATGATGTAATAATGTGAAATCAAGGGCCCAATGTAAAAAAAAAACCCAAAATTCCCCTTTAAACGTCTCAAATTATACAACATTTAAAAAATAACAAAACCAAACTATGAGGCCTCCAGGGCAGGTTTTTGCAGTTTGTGCAGGAAAATTCCTCTCAGATTAGTTAGACAGTATTTACCAATAACCTCCTTATTCAGCCCTCTTTTAAAGAGCTGGTTATGCTTTCCACACCCCTACAACCCACAGCCATGACAAACAGTCAGACTGGTTGATGATGATTGCAGCTAGAAGAGCAGAATAATACAAAAGGCAAAGAGTTTTAACCAATGGGCTGCTTCAGACCGTCTGCACAGCTTACAACGCACAACAGGAGCAGCTTGATCAGTTACCCACTCATTGCCATTCATTAATCATCATTATTACAATAATAAAAATTAGGGATGCACGATATAATTGGCCCCCTATCGGTATCGGCCTTAAAACTGAATATCGGACATCGGCCACCCCACCGATATTTAACCCGATATTTGATCAGCTTCTGAGTTTCTAAAGTATAAAAAAAAATACTACTTCTTCCTCAAAAACTGCTTTTTTACAAACTTAAAAACTTCTAAAGATGAGGGAAAAAATATCGATCCATTAAAATATCCCAATATCTTCATATGCTGATATATTGCCATTTAAAAACACCATATCAATCTCTTTTACTAATGAAATATTGCTATATGTCATCGTTATGCTACGAAATCCCCCGAAAATTCACGAAATTTTGCCATATTTTTATATGTTGATATATTGACGTGATATCGATCTATTTTACAAAATCTCACAAGAATTTGCAAAATATCACAAGAGTTTGTAACAGAACGAGGACATTTCACGAGACTGAAAGTAAAATAGATCGATACAGCGTTTTTAAAAATCTATTTGATATCAGCATATGAAAATATATTTGAGTATATTATTTTTCAAAGTGTCAGAAATGGATAACAAAACTGCTATTTTCAATGACTACTTATTTTTGTCCAGCTTTAACATCGGTATCGATATCGGTTATCGGCTACATGAGTTTTAAAATATCGGCATATCGGATATCGGCCAAAATCCAAATATCGTGCATCCCTAATAAAATTTTTTTATTTTCTTTGGAAATATGGACAAATTTCACTCTTAATCATTTCAACTCAAAGTATGGAACATAAATATGGAACAATCCTGTTTCTGCTGGAAACCTTAGACCGTAAACAACCTTTCAATAAACACACCCAGTTAGCCTGAGCTCCTAACGGATCTGATTTGATAAAATAACCGACCTCTTACTGACAAAAATTATTTAACACAAGCTCACAATTAGAAAAACTGCAGACCTCATGTTAAGAAAAGATTTTCCATCTTATAACAACCACCTGCTTATCAAAACAGCCGAGGACACAAACTGTAGCTCCCATGCTAAAGTGTTTACAGGCTACCAGGCTAAAGGAGTTCAACACAGTAAAGTTGTGTCTTACTGTCGCCTGTCCTAACAGTCACATCTGGAAGGACAAAACTAAAATGTTTATAAAGTTTAAACGGACAATTGAAATAGATATTATTTCTAAGTTGAACAGCCAAAGGAAGAAGTCAACCTCACGAAGATGCAAACAGGCTGTGGTTCTTTGCTTGCAGAAATGTGAGAAATAGAAACTTTGCTGTGAAGATGTAACCACAGTGCAGCAGGTTGTCTGTGGCGACTCTTCCTGTGAAGCTGAGGAGGCTGGATGTGTTTCAGACGCTGCAGGTCAGACCGGTGCAGACCCGGAATCAGTGCGGGCCGGAGACGGTCTGTTCACCCTCCATCATCGACGCGGCGCCATCAAACAGGCCAAAGTCCACGTGGTCAAGTGTCACGAGTTCAGCGCCACCTTCTTCCCTCAGCCGACCTTCTGCTCCGTCTGCAAAGAGTTTGTTTGGTACGACATCATCATCAGCGCTCCTCTGCACATCAGTCAGCCTTTATCTTGAACCTCTCACTTCCTCTTCCGCTCCACAGGGGTCTGAACAAGCAGGGATACCAGTGCAGACGTGAGTGTCCCTTTATTGTCTCTTGATTGGACGCCAAAGAGATGGGTGTCCTCCATGTCAGTCTGTCCTCTCCTTGTGTCTCTCAGAGTGCAACGCTGCCATCCACAAAAAGTGCATCGACAAAGTCATCGCCAAGTGTACCGGTTCAGCCGTCAACAGCAAGGAGACCATGGTGAGTTCTAACACCGGGCCCAGACCCGGTATCGAGTCCTTCCTTTCGCCTGAGGAAGGAAGGAAAATAAAATAAAGTGAACAGAACCAACTAATGGCCCATGATTCTAATCTGGCTTTCAATTAGTTTTTCTTTCTCAGTCTTAATCTTTCAAATTTGACTCGATTTCTAATTCTACCGTCTTTGTTCTATAAAACTCGGACGAACAAATTCTACAGAAGAACCATGGTTCCACTGTGAAGCAGGATCCAGTCGGCCCCTGCCTGCATTAAAACCGCTTTGTTTGCTGTGTTTCTACTCTTGGACCCAGACTGCTGTGTTTTTCAGATCCACAAGGAGCGCTTCAAGATCGACATGCCCCACAGGTTCAAGGTCTACAACTACAAGAGTCCCACGTTCTGCCAGCACTGTGGAACGCTGCTGTGGGGCCTTGCCAAGCAGGGGCTCAAATGTGAGGGTGAGGGGCCGGACCTTCTTCTTTCATGCACATTTACACTTAAAGGTATTATGGAGGATTTTCTGGAGTTTTTTAGAAGACCCGCACAAAAGATCTCCACATTAAAAAAAAATGCACATTCACAACCCTGCACCCGCTCCCAAGAGGGAACACCTATTTAACGAGAGCATGCTCAAGCACATTTCTCCTTGTGCAAGCTATGTTTAAAAGTTGTTGTTCTAATAGCTCCTACAAGCTTACTGAGTCCGAACGTTCGCCCGAACCCTTATGACTCTCTACCATTTTCAAAGAACGTGAAAAAGGTGAGCTTCCATGAGTGTCTGAAACCGTAGCTCACCACATGTACAGCATGTACGCCTGAAAAAGTAAAAGATGATCCACCCAGAAATAAAAGATCTCTATACCTTTAAGGAGGCTGGAAGCCATGGAGGGGAACAGCCGTTCACTGAGCTGCTAGGTTCAGATTACAACAGAACAACAGAAAAGGTCCAGTTCAAAGTTTTAAGAACATTGGTGATCAAATGCACCATGTTTTTTTTCTCCTTCAATGTTTACATTTGATCACTGCTGCACTTTAAGAAGTGGAAATATCATGAGAGCTGTACAGAACGAAATTTAATTTTGTATACAGTCATGTATTTATTTTGTGTATACAAAATGACCATAAAGTTTGTCTAAGTTTTGGTTTGCTGCAGAATGATTTAGCGCCTCCTGCAGCTGATGGTTCTGGTCAAAGAAGGAATCTTTCTTTACAGACAATGTGTCATAGATGCATAGATAGCATAGATAACCCTGGTTAGAAGCAACAAGGTCTGAACCCAGAAATTAAATCTAAGGACAGCTTCCACTCGTTAATTGTGTTGAGGAGATTTACTAACAGATTTGAAATCCGCCTTTTTCTGTGCAGAATGTAGCATGAACGTCCACCACAAATGTCAGAAGAAGGTCGCCAACCTGTGTGGGGTCAACCAGAAACTAATGGCAGAAGCTTTGGCTGTCATCGAGAGTAAACAACAGGTCAGAACTCATTAGACCTACCAGCTGTGGGGTTGACTGGTGGCATCAGGTGAGCCTCAGGCGTCCTGGTCTCTTTGACTGGAGGTTTTCTGTTCTGATTTAAGCCTTTTTAAGGACTGGAACACATTAAGGAGAGCCAACAGGCAACAATCAAAACCAGAACCCATTGGGCTCTAACAGAGCAGAAATGTGTGAGATAGAAGTTGTACCAACTTGTACGAGAAGGAATCTCGTCTAATGACCTGCAGTCTGGAGGAGTTTTTCTATAAACAGTAAAGTTTCCTCAGTGTCTTTCTGCTGAAGGAGAAGAAATGAGACTTGCTTCTATCCAAAGATCTCTGTTCACTAAGCCTTCCTCAGAAACTCCAGGTCCTAAAGTATTTATACTCTGAGGTTCTGAGCAGCTGATCTTAGATCTTTTTTATTGTGTGGGTGAAAGGGCCGGTCTGGTTCCTTAACGCCTCTAAAGCGATCTGTCTTTAACCCCAGAAACATCTGCATTCTGGAGAACCTTCGTTCATTTAGAAATAAAAATTCATCAGATTCATTCATCCAGTCATTTTCCTCTGAAGGCAAAAGGTACCAGAGAGAGTGAAATCATTGGCCGAGAAGGTCCGATCGGTTTGGGCCAGCCAGGCGTGATCCGGACGCCATCTGGGTTGGTGGCAGGTTTACCCGTCTCACCGTTACCTGCTAACAGAGGTATGTCTCCAGCAGAACAGACTCCTAAATTTAAGTCTGGATTATAACAGAAGGTTATCTTCGTCTCAGCAGACCCTACAGGCGTTCTGTGGGAGGGGCCTACAGATGTCAGCACGTCCACTCCTGAGTTGGGCTCAGAAGAACCTCTGTATGCCGTCCCAAAGAAAGATCATCAGCAGAGATTCAACATCGACGACTTCATCCTGCATAAGATGCTTGGGAAAGGCAGCTTCGGAAAGGTCCGGGTCACATGACCTTTACGGGTTTCGGCACTGTTCTGTAGAATCTAAGTTCTGTCTTCCTGTGGTTCCAGGTGTTTCTGGCGGAGCTGAAGAGGAGCGGGACATTTTTTGCTGTGAAGGCTCTGAAGAAAGACGTGGTTCTGATGGATGATGACGTGGAGTGCACCTTGGTGGAGAGGAGGGTTCTGTCTCTAGCCTGGGAGAACCCCTTCCTCACTCACCTGTACTGCACCTTCCAGACAAAGGTCAGGAACATGGGTTCTGTCAGAATGCGGTTCTGCTTGTTTGGACCAGTCTAACTGGGTTAAATGATTATCAAAGGCTGTTCAGGCTTTCTTACCGGGTTTTTTGCTCAGAACTAATGAACCAGATCCAACCGACAACAATATCTCTAAAAGGTTCTAATTTAATCCAATTACCGTAATTTTTCGGACTATAAGCCGCAGAAGCTAAATTGCATGATTTGTACATATACAAGCCGTACTGGACTATTAGCCGCAGGTTTTTGTATGTTTAATGTCCGTCTTTCTCGCTGTCATTCTGTCTCGTACCACTCGTGGTAGAAGTCTGCTTCCGGAGGACCTCCGCAGTCCCGCGCGCGCGCGGCTACCGTACTGTGTGTTGAAGCAAATGTGACATCAACATGGTGGGTTGTAAAATCCATAGATTTAGGTATTACCCTAGCGGCCATTAGCTGTAAAAAGTCCATAGATAAGCCACATTGTTATATAAGCCGCAAGGTCAAAAAATGGGGGAAAAGTCGCGGCTTATAGTCCGAAAATTACGGTAGATCTATCAGTACAGGACAGGCTGTTAGATCCACTTCCCCTAGTTTATCAGCACCATAAAACAGGCTCATAAAGCTGCGCTTGGGTGGTGATGGAGGAGGAAGACGTGGAGAGCTCCATAGAAAGTACCACAGAGGAACAGTTCTGTATTCTGAGGACCCTGAATGTCTCTGATGATGATGGAGGAACCATTGTCATTCTCTTGTCTTTATGTTTTCTCCTGCAGGAGAATCTCTTCTTTGTGATGGAGTATCTAAACGGAGGAGATCTGATGTTCCACATCCAGAACTGCCACAAGTTCGACCTGAATAGAGCTACGTATGTATCAGACACACGTCCGCTAGTCCAGATCCGGGAGAAGGGTTCTCCTCCTTCTGGGTCAGAGATGTTCCAGATCATTAGACCAACAGAACCTGAGGAAACGCTAAAACTTTTCATTTATCAAGTAAAACTGAGGACATTTCTGGTTTGTTTAGATCAGAAACCTGATTACTGCCTGACATGTAGAACCAGCCTGACAGCAGCAGGCCAGAAGACGTCAATCACTGACATTTAAACTCACTTTAGTTTATTTCTATAGTGCCGATTCACATCATATCATCTCACGTTATTTTTCCAGCCACAATTCAACCAGATCATCCAGTCAGATTAGTTCAACAATTATCTAAGAAAAACAAGTGGATTGCATCGACTCATTGACTCTTCAGCAATCCCTCACATCAAGCATGTATGCTGGGAGGGAACATTATGCCCCACCTGAAGAGATCTAAAGCCACTGATAGAACCCGACCAATATGGGACTTTGAAGGCGGATACCGATAGAGATAATCGAGGCTTTAAAAAACCTGATATCTGATATATTGGCCGATATCTGATAGAGATTAATCAGAATATCAAAAAAAATAAATAAATAAATGAATATGGACATACACTATAATCCCACTCAAATTCTCTTAACCAAAAATAGGATTCAAGACAAAAAAAAAATAGAACTATAGAATTGAAATAGGCAACTTTAATCTGACATAAGACTATGAATACAATTCTTTGGTTGTGATTTAGATATTGCCTCATATGTGGTAGTTTTTTCTCCGCACTGGTGCTGTAACCCCAACTAACTACTGATGCTCCATCCTTTGTGGCTCGACACCTGACCGTTCCTGCAGTTTCATAATTAGATTTCACCTCTAAAGAGCATTTAAAGATTAAAATAAGTGGCTGCATTCAGCTTAAAGTGGTAACAGCCTGTCTAATGGGAGTCTGTTATCACTTTAACAGCCTTTCATATCTTTTATATAAAGACTCATTTAC